ACCTGCAAATTGCCTATTTTTAAAAAAATCATAGAACCTTGCTTTTTTGTTATCTTGCTATGCCATTTAATAAAAAGTATTTCACATCAATCATGGTGGTGAATTTTCTTAAGAAGTTTGGTGTTACTTGTATGGCAGGATGCTACCAAAACTCCATAGACTTTTACCAGGGTGTAGAACATTGGTACCTTACTCAGTCATAGACATTCAAGGGATGATTTTAATTTCTTGATATTTTTAAATCTCTTATTCTGTCATGCAGCTGGCAGACAGTATCTACTCTCTTCCCAATATGCTACAGCTGTAGAACTTCCCATGTGTAGGCTGATTCATGACTTTGGATGTTCAGACTGTGAGATGATAAACCTCTGGGTATATGGAAAAGCAACCCCAAGTTGTCTGCTTGTTTTCTTGTACTTTTAGAACCCAGACATTGGCACATATTGATTCCTGAATGACTTGCAGGACTTGATGATGATTATAGCTTAATGAACTGGAAGAGTTCCCCAAGTGACTGGAAATGTATTCTAGCACTAGCTTCCAAAGTATTTGTTGCATAGTTTATACTACCTGATTTAATGCACTTACAAAAACTGAACAATTTCTTTTCTATATAGTGTAAAGCACTTATAATCTTGCAAACATTTCTGCTGCAAAAAAAAAAATGACCTTCTTGTCAGTGATTTTGACCACTTTGTCCCCAGCCTCAAAATTTTCTATCAGAGAACTAATCGTTATTATGTTACTCAGGAATGATTATCTGTGGCCTGTCCTTTCTTCTGCCTCCTCACACATCCACACTACCACTGTTATCTTTCAGCTGAGGCAAACTTTTCTTTAGCTCATAGTTCTTCTTCACATTCTTCTAATACTGCTTTTTTTTAGTGTAGGTAAATAAGGAAATAGCATTTGAGCTAGTTTATTTAAAATGTAGTAAAGGTGAAATAAATGATTTTCCTCTCAAAATTAAAAGTACTTTTTTGAAACCTTTTTTAGAATTTAAATTCTTGGAAGGCAAATCTAGCAGCTAAAACAGTGCTGTGTTTCATAAATACTTTTTTTTGAAGTTATAATTTCTTTATTTTGACAATTTTGTCAAGTTATATGTATATTTATATACATGGACATTCATACACTTGATTCCGTTTTTTAACCTAAAGATAGTTACCTCTTTTGGTTGTCTTTTACTACCACTCTTTTATCTTTGAGTATTTTCACTTTCTTGTCTTCAAACTGAGAACATTCTCCTTTTTTCCATTTCCTGAATAATTTCAATCACATTGCTCTGAAGAGGCTATCTGCATATGTTTAGCTCCCACTTTTCTTTCTTTGTCTTTGGCCAACTTCCACTTTTATTTTTTATCCTCGATCTCTTAGCCAAATCTCCAATTTCTCAGTCACTTCTTCACGCTGAAAAGTGATAGAATTATTTTTCCTTTTATCTCCAAAACCCCTAGTAATTCCCTCATTATTAGTTGAAATATAATCACTTCCTCTGTCCCTCCTCCTCATTGCCATTCTCTCTTCCCAAGTACCTCCTCTTTCATAATATTTTGTCTGGATTTTCATATTTCTATTTCTTAAAGTCTTCAGTTCATACCGTAACTTTTTTCATACCAGATAACTTCTTTTCTATATAATCAGCACATGTTGCCATTGCCAGATTCTTCTTCCTTGGTACTTTACCCCCACTATCAAAACCCTCTGTCATCCAAATTGGAAAGGAAGAAGTGAAACTGTCACTATTTGCAGATGACATGATTTTATATATAGAAAACCCCAAAGAATCCACCAGAAAACTTTTAGAAGTAATAAACGAATATGGTAAAGTTGCAGGATACAAAATCAACATACAAAAATCAGTTGCATTTCTGTACACTAACAACGAAGTAGCAGAAAGAGAAATTAAGAATACCATCCCATTTACAATTACAACAAAAGAATAAAATACTTAGGAATAAACTTAACCAAAGAGGTGAAAGATCTGTACACCGAAAACTATAAAACATTTCTGAAAGAAATTGAAGAAGACACAAAGAAATGGAAAGATATTCCGTGCTCTTGGATTGGAAGAATTAACATAGTTAAGATGTCCATACTTCCTAAAGCCATCTATAGATTCAATGCAATCCCTATCTAAGTTCCAACAACATTTTTCACAGAAATAGAACAAAGAATCCTGAAATTTATATGGAACAACAAAAGACCCCGAATAGCTAAAGGAATCCTGAGAAAAAAGAACAAAGCTGGAGGTATCACAGTGCCTGATTTCAAAATATACTACAAAGCTGTAGTAACCAAAACAGCATGGTACTGGCACAAAAACAGACACACAGATCAATGGAATAGAATCGAAAGCCCAGAAATAAACCCACACATCTATGGACAGCTAATCTTTGACAGAGGAGCCAAGAACATACAATGGAGAAAAGAAAGTCTCTTCAACAAATGGTGTTGGGAAAACTGGATAGCCATATGCAAAAAAATGAAAGTAGACCCTTACCTTACACCATACACAAAAATTAACTCCAAATGGATTAAAGACTTGAATGGAAGACCTGAAACTGTGAAACTTCTAGAAGAAAACATAGGCAGTACGCTCTTCGACATCAGTCTTAGCAACATCTTCTCAAACACCACGTCTGACCGGGCAAGAGAAACAATAGAAAAAATAAACAAATGGGACTACATCAAACTAAAAAGCTTCTGCACAGCAAAGGAAACCATCAACAAAACGAAAAGACAACCTAACAATTGGGAGAAGATATTTGCAAACCATACATCTGATAAGGGCTTAATCTCCAAAATATATAAAGAACTCATGCATCTTACCAACAAAAAAACTACCAACCCAATTAAAAAATGGGCAAAGGACTTGAACAGACATTTCTCCAAAGAAGATATACAGATGGCCAACAGACACATGAAAAGATGTTCAAAATCAGAAGGGTGAAAGGGATAATTCGGTACATGTGTGTGGTGATGGGTTGTAATTAGTATTTTGGTGGTGAGCATGATGTAATCTATGCAGAAATAGAAGTACAATGATGTACACCTGAAATTTTTACAATGTTATAAACCAATGTTACTGCAATAAACAAAAAATTAAAAAAAAAAAAAGAAACACCTGACGCTAGACTAAAAAAAAAAAAAAAACCCTCTGTCAGATTGCTAATTGATATTATGCTGTATTTGTGACCCCTATTTTTACTTTTTACTGATGCCTACATCCACTCACCTACCTTTTTCTTTCAGCTGAGCGAAATTTCTCTTTATTTCTTTGTTCTATCTCCTACTCTTCTAATTTACCTCCCTCGAAGCTTATAATAACTTCCTACCTCACATCTGCCAACCTACCTATATTCTCATGCAAAGCTTGCTTGAAATGTTAACTCCTTTTAAGTGGGTAAAGATAGGAAAATAGCCAAAAACCTGCTTTATAATTGATTTAAATTTTTTCTCAAAAATCTGTATTCTAAATTGAAGAGAAATGCCTCATAAAGCAAAACCAACACTCAACCAATCAAAGCTTCCAGAAAAGGAAGGTAGATATATATATTGCAGCCATCTCATTGATATAGTTAAGGCAACAAATTTTGTTCCTATTGTGTCCAGCAATATATTGAAAGTTAGGGATACAAACCCGGAGGTAGAAGGCATGGTTAATGTCCTCAGAGCATTAATAATATAGATGAGACAAGATTAATATACATGAAGCACTTAAAAATTAGTTGTAATAACTAGCCTAATAATCAAAATAGTAGGTTGTATCATATAGACTTTAAGTGCTATAAGTAATCAGAGAAAAAGAAAGGCATTATTGCTTGGGGTTGCCAGTGAAGATTTCATGGGGGAAGTGGGTCTTGAAGAAAATGTAGAATTTGGACTAGCTGGACTGGGCTAGACGACTTGTGTTAGCATTTCTAGGTAAAAGAGGATTGCTTAGCCAAGACCCTTAAGGAGAAATTAGTTGATTCTTAAGAAAACAGCAAACTTTGTTCTAGGGAGGAGTAGGAATAATTAAATTGGAACTAATTGATCAAAAACCTTGAATTCCAAATTGAGGAATTAAGAATTAATTGTTAAAAAGTAGGGGCCGGCCCCGTGCCTTAGTGGTTAAGTGCACGCGCTCTGCTACTGGCGGCCCGGGTTCAGATCCCGGGTGCGCACTGACGCACCGCTTCTCCAGCCATGCTGAGGCCGTGTCCCACATACAGCAACTAGAAGGATGTGCAACTATGACGTACAACTATCTACTGGTGCTTTGGGGGCGGGGAGGAGGATTGGCAATAGATGTTAGCTCAGAGCTGGTCTTCCTCAGCAAAAAGGGGAGGATTAGCATGGATGTTAGCTCAGGGCTGATCTTCCTCACAAAAAAAAAAGAAAGAAAAAAAAAAGAAAAGAAAATACCTTTACCTAAGCATTTTAATTAATCAAGGTTTTATCTTTTTTAAATATCCAGGATTTTCTTATATAAATAGCATTAGCTAACATTGAGTGTTTTACTATGTGCTAAGTGTTTTATATGTAATAATAACTCATTTCATCTTTACAGCAACCCTTTATAGTAGGTTCTATTTTAACCCCTTTATTTTACAAATGAGGATGTAGAAAAGGTAAGTACAACTGGCTCAATTGACACAAGTAAGTGACAGAGCCAGGATTCAAACCCAGGTAGTCTCTGGTACCAAAATCTACATTCTTATCTGCTGTATACACAACCTTGTAAAGGAGGTATATAAGTGCTGCAACTATATCATGAGATTTGGACAATTGAACCTGACTTATTCTTTTATTGATATATAATTTTCTCAAGCATAACTCATATCAGAACCCTGTAATCTCTTCATCCCAAATATATTTTTTCTCTAAGAAAAATATAAGGAAACTTTGGGCTAGAAATTAAAAAAAAATTAATCCATTAGTTGTTTGTCATATGAAGTGATATTTATTTTATCTCTTGTCAAATCCTTATTTCAACAGTCTCTTTATTACAACAGGGCTTCTGGTTGGGACTCTTGATTCAGTCTTAGACTCTACTGCTAAAGTAGCTCCATTTCGCATCCTACACCAGACACCAGATTCTCAAGTTTACCTGTCAATTGCATGTGGTGAGTATGATTGAAAAACATGTAATTTGAACAAATAAGCATACTAAGAAATTGAATATTTAAATTTATTTATACTCCCCAGTTGTTCTGATTTAGAAACGAGTTAAATGTGCAGCTCTACTTTGAGAGAATAACAAGGTATCTAATTGCTTATTTGAGAAGGATTACAGATTATTACGGTTTTTTAAAAATTCATTAGTGTGAGGGACCTGAAGCATGTGTTCCAGCGGTGCTGATTCTGAGCAAATTTTGGTCATTGCTACTGCTATATGACTCCTTTCTTCAACTTACTTCTCCTGCTTCACCCAACTGCTGGGAAGATGAGAACTTCCCCATGAAATGCTTTGTTTCATCTCTAATAACTCAGATGAGGAGAATCAAGCCCAAAACTTAAAGCTTGTCAACCAAGAAAGTATGAGCCTAAAAAATTGAACCTTTTTTAGTTACACACCTACATTCTCACAAAGTAGACATATGAAGGGATATCTTACAGGTAATGCTACATATTCATTTATGCTGGGGTGGTTCAGATGCTTCCACATGTATAAATTGTGGGTAGAAAAGGAATTAGGATAATTTTGCCTAATAAAGCAACTCAAAAGTAGAAAAAAAAACATAGTAACAGTTTGTTACATCTTTTATGATGCCATTATAATGTTCTTCTCAATGAGAATTCCAGGCTTCTGGCCTTTTTAATGCTGAAAAAACTGCCTTTTTCTCTTTCTCTCTTCTCCCCCTCTTCATACTCTTTTAAGTATATCAAGTAGATATACTTAAAAAAAAGCATGTGAATTTATGGATAGTTCATCTGTGTGAACATATAGTATACAATTAATTTTTTAAGATGTGTGGCTTGTTTTTTGCATCTCCCTCTAAATTTCCTTTGGTGTTGCTGCTGAGTGTTTTCTCCACGCTCTCGTAAAGTGAAGGCCATTTAAAATAAATGAAAAAGACATTATACCTGCTGACATCATGAGACATCTGTAACTTCAACTCTAAATCTGGTTGGTAGAAATTATTTAGAATAAGATGTCCTTTCTACTTAAAAAAAAAAAAAATGATGATTATATAACTTATTCCCCCAAATTAACCTGATGCAGAAATGTAGTAGTTACCTACTAATGAAGCTTCCTTATATCTAAAAGACCAAAATAAATGTCTTAAAATTTCCTCATAACTTTTATTTGTGGTTCATTAAAGAAAGTTATTACACTTGGTATGATGACTTTAGTAACACGAATACAATTCTAACTGAATTGTAGGAAATAGGCAATTTTGCAGTTTCAGTAAATTTTTTAATGTATCACTCTCCGTGTATCATAAAACATACTAAGTAGTCAAGATATTTCTTTTGAATGAGATTTGTATAATTTGCAATGCGGGGGAGATCTTAAAAGTATGTGGGTTATAGGGGGAGATTGATAGGTATTGAAATGTTCCTCAAGCCAAAGGAACCCAGAGATTGTCACATGTGTGCTGTTTTCAGTCACACAGATTATAGACACTCTACTAACTGTATTATTTGAAGCCCAAGGATTAAATTATGTATATTTATGTTCTGATACTCTATATATTCTCTTAAAAGATAGTGGTTACTGTAGGCTCCAATTATTAACATCTTGTTTTCAGAATTTTATATCTTTACTCATGAACTATATTTACTTTTCTTTCATTATATTTACTTTTCTCTTCTTTCATTAAATATTTTATTCTTTCCATTTATAATGAAAAATAGTGTTCATGTCAACATATAGGGATGAAATAGAGAATAAATATAATACCTTTATTCCTTTATGATCATTATTTTTTAAAATGAGCAAATATAATTTTATTTCTTTTTAAACTAAGATTGTGAATATCAAGAGCAGTTTTGTTGTGGAGTTTTCCTTCAGTCTTTTATTCTCTTTCATTATTAATTAGGAGCCAACAGAGAAGAAATAACCAAACATTGGGATTGGTTGGAACAAAATATCATGAAGACCTTATCTGTGTTTGATTCAAATGAAGATATTACTAATTTTGTACAAGGAAAAATAAGAGTAAGTGCCATGGATATATTTTGTAGATGGAATACTAAAATCTTTGAACCTCTTATTTGAGGATCAAAGGTTGCATGGAAGGTCATTGTTTTACTGGCACCTTTCAGGAATGCCAGAAGCACACATATGAATGTCAGAATCAGTGTTAAAGAACATTGTAAAGGCAGTGGTTAGTCTTTGGTGCCCTTGTGAGTGCTCTTAGGGATATTTTATTTCAATATCTCTACAGCTTAGAGTTTGAATGAAGCCCTCACTCAATCAAAAGAATATTTCGCACCTGTATTTGTGGTGGCTCCTTATGAGGCATTAGAAAAAGCCTAATTACAAAATGAAAGTAAATAGGCTATTCTCTGTCCTAAGAGAAATACATATGTATGTGTACACATATATACATATGATATATGTACCTGTGTAGATATACCATACACAGTTGTGTTCAATGAACTATTTAAATATATGAAATATATTTTTGTTGGTAGGTAATGATTAATTTTCAGAAAATATTTTGTCTCCTTTAGGGATTAATTGCTGAAGAGGGAAAACATTCTTTTGCAAAAGAAGATGATCCTGAGAAATTTCGAGAAGCCCTTTTGAAATTTGAAAAATGTTTTGGTTTACCAGAGCAGGAGAAGTTAGTGACCTATTACTCATGTAGTTATTGGAAAGGACGAGTTCCTTGTCAGGGTTGGCTGTATCTTAGCACCAATTTTCTGAGCTTCTATTCTTTTTTGTTGGGATCGGAAAGTAAGTGGTTTCTATTAATTACCATGACTTTGAACTTGCTGACTGACCTATCAACTCTGTGGTGGTGTTAGGTTGTATATAAAGTAATAGGATTAATATTAACAGCAATTAAGCGGTCCATTAAAAAGTTCACTTCATCTAGAGAAAGAATCCTTTTATGGCTGGTTGCTTAACAGGAACCATTAGAAGTGTGTATAGAATGCCTTGCATATTGTGAGAAGTGAATGAATAATAAGTGACAATGGTCTTCTAGCATATAACTCTTTTCTTTCCCTTGTTCTAAACTACCTACTTTATTCCGTCCATGTTTTAAAGGATAAATATAGTAGCCATAGTACCTAATGGCCCACAGCTACAAAGAAGAATCAAACAGTACTGTTCATAGCACACATATAGCTTCTATATCTGTGGTTATGTAATTATGTAAAGTAACAGATTTAAATATAAATCAGAATATTTTTTAAAAAATTGTTTAAAATTATATCTGTTCCTAGAATTACCAATTATTGTATGTTCATGGTTATACTTCAAAATTTTAACTAATCTTGAACTCTAAAGTATTTTATTTGTTCATAGCATTTTTCAAGTGCTTAACTATTGTTTCAAGAGACCTGATTGATAAACATTAATCAATATTGAGAAATTTAGTCATATCTGCTTATAACTCTTATTTGCAGTAAAACTCATTATCTCCTGGGATGCGGTCTCAAAACTTGAAAAGACTTCAAATGTCATACTGACAGAGAGTATTCATGTGTGTTCCCAAGGGGAGAATCACTACTTTTCAATGTTTTTGCATATTAACCAAACATACCTTCTTATGGAACAGCTGGCAAACTATGCCATAAAGAGACTTTTTGATAAGGAAACATTTGATAATGACCCAATCCTTGATGATCCTCTACAAATCACCAAAAGGTATTCAAAGCTTAATTAATATTTACTTTTTAAAATATTGTTTGACCAAAGAGTGGTAGCATTGATTAGCATTATAAGTTAGCTGTTCTATGTTATATAATAGTTTTTCTTTGGAGTTAATCCTCCAGTGTCTTTTTTTTTTCAGTTTATTCATATGCATTTCACAAATAGTATCCTCTCCATGAAATTTAATCCTAAGAGGTAACAGAAGTTAGGTTTGAAAATTATTTCTTGAGATCCCAGTAGGATTTGTCCTGGAGTGCTTTTAGAAATGTAGAGATTTTTGTGTGCGTAGTTAGTCTAACTCTCAATTTCTCTATGAGTAGTCTAGATAGTTTCAGGTCTGAAATTGTTAAATGTGTTGTTTATTTTTAAACATAATTTATAGACAGCATCATTTTTTAAATGAAGAGGCAGGTTAGTGGAGTCAGTGGAGCAAGGGCTTTAGAATGAGAGTAGAGCAACCCTTGGATGAGTCATAATCTCTCAGGACCTCAGTTTCCTCATCTGTCATTTATACCTCAGAGAGCACTGGGAAGGAATATAACATGTGAAAGCACTTTGTAAAATATAAAGCACTAGATAACTGTTAATCATCATTAGTGCCTGCATCAGAAGTATCTGATAGCTGTTTGCTACTATATTTGGTTTGCTGAAACTGGCCAGAGCCCTTTCATCCTGCTCAACACTCAGAACAGTTGACTGAAATGAGCATGCCAAAGAGGAGGGAGAGAGAAGAGGATCCAGAAATAGCTAGTGAAAGCAGCTTCTGGCAAGGAGGATGAGGGTATAGACTGTATGGGAAAGTGTAAGAGGAGCCTAAGCCGAAGTCCTATGGATAGATGAGAACGAGTGACCTGAAGGGTTGTGTGATTACTACATAGCCCCAGCTGGGTACAGTTGTTCCTCTTGCCTATTCCTAAACCATTCCTAAAATCTATATGCATAAGGATTCCTTTGTGAGAGTGAGGTGAATTTTTTATACCTTATTACCAAAATTAGGTCCCAGTGTGTGTGATTTATAAATAGAACTCTATAAGGATTAAGAATCCTGTTTTTTTGTTATATTATAGTTGGACATTTGCTTTTTTAGTTTGTTCCTCAATTGGCCACCATAAACATAAAGTTTTTATCATTTTATTTCCCTTAAAATATCCTCTAAATGGCCATGTATCAATGAGTTATTCATTACCAAGTCTGTATTTAAATGAGATATAGGAAATCCATTTTTGTCTATGTGCATTTTTAAGAGAGGCTATTGAAAATCATATATAGCTAAATCCTTTTTTCTAGTAAGTTAGAAAGAACAATAACTTATTTATCATTAGTCTCCAAATGAGTTTTTTCTAAAATAGAATATATTGCTTCAGCTTATTGTTTTTACAAATATGTATTACTTCTATAATTTAAACAATACAGAAGAATAATAACAATAGTTAAGATCAGTGTATATCCTTCCATGCTTTTTAATGCATGAATTTAAAAATATTTGCAAAAGTAAAATGAATGGGACTAAACATCACATATTCTACAACCTGCTTTTTTTCCCCCTTAAAATAATATACCATGGACATCTTTTCATTCATATAAATAGACCTCATCCTTTTAAATAATAGTGAAATAACCCACCAAATTGCAATTTAAGTGGGGTTAAAATTAGTGTGGCTTTCTGTTCATATTTATCAGAATTATTTTGAAAGACATACTGAAGTGCCACATATTCAAATAGTATATGCTGGAAGGATGAATTTAGTTTTAACTTTGTTGGCTTTGCTTTAGAACTTGCATAATTTACTTACTATCCCAGATGGTATTGCTGCTTAGCACAAGTGTTTAGTCCCTCTAGAAAATTTGTATTATTTTAAGCAATTGTTTTTTATTTATATATTTATCAGTTAACAAGTCATCTGTATTTATTGACACCTATCCTGTGCCTAATACTGTGCAAGCAGTGTTGTTTCATCTTGCCTCTACTTTGGATTTTTTTAAACATTAATTTAAATTTTTCCTTCACTTAATTTTAATATTTTATGCACTATTCTTCCTGTCTAAATTTTGATGCCATAAGTTTTCATTTTTCTGTTTTGTTTGAACTGGGTAACTCTTGATTTTTTGATAACCAGATATAAAAATTATTGTCTGCCAAGACTGGTTTTAGCCATAGTCACATATTGTGAATATATAATAATATAATAATAATCTTCCAGCAAATCACCCCTCAACAGATGGTTTGAAGACCTACGTCATCTCTAACTTTTGTGTATTGTAATCTACAAATAAAACAAAATTGGAAAAGAGAACAAACAAAATAAATTTGTTAGGAATCAGTGTGTTTCTTCCATTTCATAATTTGTTGAAGAACATAGCATGTAGTGTTTAATCTTTCTGCTTTACAGCACACTTAGATTAATAAATATAGGCATGTGTACACTTTAGAAGTCATCATTTCATCTCCCCTTTTTTTCTTTCCTACAGAGGTCTGGAAAATCGAGCCCACAGTGAGCAGTTTAATGCTTTTTTTAGGCTGCCCAAAGAAGAGACTTTGAAAGAAGTACATGAATGTTTCTTATGGGTACCATTCAGTCACTTCAATTCTCATGGAAAAATGTGTATCTCAGAAAACTATGTCTGTTTTGCTAGCCAGGATGGCAATCTATGTAGTGTAATTATTCCATTACGAGAGGTAACGTAAATTTGGTTACATATCAGTTTTCAGTTTGAAAATGTTATCATTCGCAGAGTAAAATGTCCTTTAATTCTGTAAATTATTAAAAACTCAATATGCGACATCCTTTTAGTAATTTTAAAATAATCATTTTTTAAGTTCAATATTGTTTTTCAGGATGAGTACCATTCTTCAGGATAAGAGTACTAGGATAAGAGCCTTATAGCTCTTATTGAAAGTGAAAATATAAAAAAATTAAAATTTTATAAACAAGATAAGGGTTTAGGATGACTCAAAATGGAACATGATCACTCAGACATTTATGACATGAATACCAAAATTTAGACTATCACATTTGATACACACAGACAAAAAAAACGGAATTGATAGCTTTTATGTAAGTCAGAAATAAATTGTCAGCATTGCAGCACTGAATTTTTATACTTGTATTGTCATTTTTAAAGGCTACATGTTAGTTAAACTTTTTCCTTGAGAAGCGAAAGAACTTGCACTGAGGTTACGCATATCAGTGGTACAACTAGTTCCCAAAGTCTGTTTCTTAATAAGTCATACCATGGATCAAAACTTTTAGCCACAAAAGAGTAAGCTAAACACATTTTGCCTTAAGGTGTCAGCAACAAGGGAAAATGTGATTCATTTATAATATGTTTTCACTCCCCCCCAGGTCTTAGCTATAGATAAGACAAATGATTCCAGCAAATCTGTCATCATTAGCATCAAAGGAAAGACAGCTTTTCGCTTCAGTGAAGTTAAAGACTTTGAGCAACTGGTGGCAAAACTCAGGCTCAAGTGCGGGGCAGCTCCAACTCAATATCATGATATTAGCACAGAGGTAATTATATAGCAATCAAATGATTTTGAAAAAAGGTTTGTGTTTTATGTGGTCCATTCTTTCAAAAGGAATTCATAGTACCTTTATTATTCATACTTAGGTTTATTTTTTTAAAAAGACTAAATCCAAAGGAATTATATTCTCTTAAATCATATCATAAAATAGAAGAATTAAGGACTTTATCCTTTTTCAGGAACTCATACTTTCAAAAAATTATCATCATTTGATCTTTCTTGACTATATTTACTTTATCATATACACACCTTGTATTTTTCACATAACATGGCTTTTAACAACTCAAACTATATTTGAGAATTCAACAAGGTCTTGAAAAAGGACTCTCCTCTTATTGCTGTGGAGAGACAGCAATCTTAAACCAATCTGACTATCTTTCTCTTATTTAATATCGAGTAGGTCAGCCTTATTTACTTAATCTAGCACAAAACAAAATAGTGGCTTATCTATTTACTAGTAAAATATTAGAGAAGGCAAATATTCTTGGAAAAGGGTGGTTAAGAGCCTGCTTTTGATGTTTAGTATATCTTTCATGGAAGTATGTAGTTTCAATTCAAATTAATTTTCTTTTTCAATGCCTAGGAACCTCATGTTTTAATATATTGATAAAACTTATCACATTATAACTATATATATTTTAATTAAAATTTTCAAAGAAAAAATCAACATTGGCTTTACTGGCTATATTATTTTATTTGGATTGGATTATAGAGGCTCTTACCTCTCTCTCCAGAGTAGAGACTGGAAATATTATGCTAGGTCAATTATAATGCAGTATTGATAAGACTAACTTTCCATTTGGTAATTGAAAACATGTAATTAAAAAAATTCATATATCTCAGTTCCAGACACAGAACCTTCATGTTGGCCATCAATTTTCATGCCCCAACTTTCTAATCTTTCATTCTCTTCAAGTATGTGCCCAGGATATTCCTTAATTTGATGTGAGGACACAAGTAAAATCTGATCAGTCTTGGTAGTGTCTCTCCCAATGCTCCCATATTCTTGCTTATATCACTTTTTTTCCTGTCCTATTCCATTTCATATTCAGTCTGTGTGTTAGATTTAATGTTCTTCTTATGTTTCCTTCTCCTTTAATTTATCTGTATCTCTAAAACCTGAAGAACTAGAATTTTTCCCCTGAAAACTCTCAGGTGCCTCTAGTAGTTGGGTATGCTCAGTTGTCAAGAAAGAATTTTGTTTCAAAATGAGTTTAGCATTTTTTCAGATGTATGTCAGAGTTCTCAAGTTTTCTAGTTTCTCTTAGCCATATTTAGAAGTTTTAATAAAGATATGTACAAAAGACCAGTCTGTATATTAATTTGCTTGGAAATCTTTTTTTAATTGTCATAACATCCTATTTTCACTTAAGATTTTTATGTTAGCCCTGGTGAAGAATATTGACTTGTTTTAGTATTATCTGTATATGTCTAGCTTTAATGATAGCACATTTTAAAAATTAGTAGAGAACTTTTTAAATAAGAGCTAGTTCCATTTGATCTCTAAATGACAGAAATTTTAGTTACATTATTTTATAGCTACATTTAGCATGCTGAAACAAAAAGAAAAAATTAAATTCTATAATTTTACCAAATCTGGTACATTTTACACATCTAAATCTCAAAGCAGTTTAAATCAACAGATCTAAATATGAATACAGAAAGGACTTTAGGAAATTTTTCTTTTGAGTACATCAAAAACGTGATACCGGGCCAGCCTGGTTGTGTAGTGGTTGAGTTCGCGTCCTCCACTTCGGTGGCCCAGGGTTTGTAGGTTTGGATCCCGAGCGTGGACCTACACGCTACTCATCAAGCCATGCTGTGGCAGGGTCCCACATATAGAAGTGGAGGAAGATTGGCACAGATGTTAGCTGAGGGCCAATCTTCCTCACCAAAAAAAAAAACATGATACAAAAGCAAATGCTCCCAGAAGCAATTGGGATTATGAGTAAGTATCAGTTCTGTCCAAGTTTTTGAATATGTCAATTAAAATTCTCCACATTTTATTAAGTTATGTTAAAATGTGGGTGCATACACAGGTTTTGAATAATTCTAATCAAGTGCTTAGAAAACACATTACTCTTTTATTTTTATTGACACATATACTCAAGAAATATGACTAGATACAGTAATTTTTCAAAACTACTAAATGAAAGAAAAATGGGCCCTTTTAGCTTAGTTTTAAGCAAAGTGGCCTAAGAAAGAAGAGCACTGCTGAATATCCTTTACTTCATGCTTTGAAACTGCATTATAAGTGGATCTTAGGAATTATGGAATGTCAAGACAAGGTAGAAATTGAGCTTTGCCTTAAAGTGTTTTGAAGGGCAAATATCTTCTGTAGATTATCAAAGCATATGTAAACATACTTGTTTCATTAGTTCTCATAACCAGCACTATCTTACTTTCTAAGTTTTTAAATTAGCAGTAATGGCTTCCCTATCCTACACAATAATGCAGATAAAAATAATAGTTTAACCCACACGACTGGTGTTTACCTTAATAAGAATAAAATATGTTTCCTGTAAATATAATATAAATTGGACATAGATGTTTTAGCTGTAAGGAGTAGATTTAGGGCCAGCCCCATGGCTTAGCAGTTAAGTGCGTGCGCTCCGCTACTGGCAGCCCGGGTTCAGATCCCAGGCGCGCACCGACGCACTGCTTCTCTGGTCATGCTGAGGCTGCGTCCTACATACAGCAACTAGAAGGATGTGCAACTATGACATACAACTATCTACTGGGGCTTTGGGGAAAAAAAAAAAGGAGTAGATTTATTTCTATGTGAGGAAATCAGAAATTTTATTAAAAATAGAATTAGCACTAATTTTATATTACGGACTATGAACAGGAGCCTATTTTAAGATAAGTTTCTGATATTTAAGAGAAGTGTTTCTTTGTATATTTTGTTATAATTTTTGGTTTTACAGGTCATCTCTGGCCCCCAACCATCATTATGATGCTGAGTTTGTGAGATATTCTAATTTAAGTCTAGTGGTTTGTAGAAAAGTTACACATAAAGAAATGTTAATCTGGGCTGGCCCCGTGGCTTAGCGGTTAAGTGCGCACGCTCCGCTACTGGCGGCCCGGGTTCGGATCCCAGGCGCGCACCGATGCACTGCTTCTCCGGCCATGCTGAGGCCGTGTCCCACATACAGAAACTAGAAGGATGTGCAACTATGACATACAACTATCTACTGGGGCTTTGGGGAAAAAAAAGGGGGGAGGATTGGCAATAGATGTTAGCTCAGAGCCGATCTTCCTCAGCAAAAAGAGGATTAGCATGGATGTTAGCTCAGGGCTGATCTTCCTCACAAAAAAAAATAAAAGAAATGTTAATCTTTGCCCTATCTTTCCTTCACTGTTAGAATCCATATGCTACTTCTAAAGTCAGTGACAGATACCAAAAACCAAACCGGTCTAAGAATACCTGTTATAGAGTCAACAACCTATGTTGCTTCCTCATGTGATTGGATTTTGCCCAGGCACTAAATGTCTGATGAGTGCCAAATTTATTCCTGTTACAAGTGTGAGCACCCAAATAAATGGATATATAGAATTGGAATGGCCATGAGGTAAAACCCTCCATTCAGAAGAGCCAGAGCAAAAAAAAAACGTTCAGAAATTTAAGCTTAGTTGCTTGAATAATCTATTTTGTTATACTCTTCAAACAATTCAAATATTAAATTGCTTTAAGCCAACATCTTGGAAGGTGAAGGTGTTAATGTGATTTTATGAATACTTGAGAGGTAATCATGGATAGAACTGGCACTTTTGCCCTCCTTTTTATAAATTTATATTTGCGATTTCATTATGTAAGAGATTATGTTTCTTTTCCTTCTTGGATACTTTTCCTGTGGTTTGGATATATTACTAATAGGTAAACTGGTGCTTCAGTCATATGGCTTAAAGTAAGAGAATGTACTTTGCTTGAGATCCAGACTACACCCATGAATTTTTCAATTTGTTTTTGCAAAAACATAATCCCTTATTAAAACAGCAAAATTTAAAATTAACAGTAAAGTAGATTTGTCAAAACAAGCTTTTTAAAAAAGAAGAGAAGTGTTGTAATTTGGGACCTATACTCACTAATCATTTCTTATTATAAGCTTGTTCTATCCTACCCTTATATTCAGACATTAATTTGAATACTGCTTTCTAACTTTCCCTGAATCCTCTTAATATCTAACCCTTCTAGAACTTGTTGGCTTTTTGGGTTTCAAGCTGAAATACCACTGGACTGCTCTACCCTAAGCTGCTACTTTTCCTCTGCCTCAGTCATGGGCATTCTTTTCTTCTTGCTTAAGCTACTAGTGTTAAAGGGATGATGTTAGTGAGCCTTTTTTTAGTACCTCTAGTGGTAACCTAGACTTCTGGTATAGTTATAATCCACAGAAGCTGGTTAACTGATATGTTTTTAAAAATAAAGCTTTGGAGATAATAAAATTCATGTGGAAATGGAAGGGACCCAGAATAGCTAAAACACTATTGACAGGGAAGAATAAAGTTGGAGGACTCATCCTTCTCAATTTCAAAACTTACCACACAGCTGTAGTAAACAAGACAGTGTGATACTGGCATAAGGGTAGACATAGAGATCAATGTAATAGAATTAAGAGTCCAGAAATAAACTCTTACATTTATCGTCAATTGATTTTTCAATAAGGGTGCCAAGTAAATTCAATGAGGGAAAGATAGTCTTTTCAACAAATGGTGCTGGGACAATGGATATCGACATACAAAAAAAAATGGTTTGACCCTTTCCTTACACCATACACAAAAATTAACTCAAACTGGATTGAAGACCTACATGTAAGAGCTGAAACTATAAAACTCTTAGAGAAAACATAGGAGTAAATCTTCATGTCATTGAATTAGACAGTTTTTTCTTACCTATGACACCAAAAGTACATGACAAAAGAAAAAAATAGGTAAATTGGACTAGATCAAAATTAAAAACTTTTGCCCTACAAGTGATAATATCAAGAA